TCTTGGCTTGGTATCGTTTGTCAAAGATTTTTCTTTGAAAAACGATACCAATTACCAGGTCTCACCACGTGGAGGTGGCTACGCATCGAGACCCGACATGCGCCCTAGTGGCGCATCCTACTGGCGCTATCCGTATCAAAGGTACCCTAATCTAACTTGGAGCGAATTAAGTTAAAATGACTCTACTGACACTTTATTATATTATGTGTCTTACAAAAGGGGTTTCGGTTCGGTATACTGAAACTCTACTGTCGCAACGCTAAGATATTTTCAAGTTCCCATAAAAATAGGGAATGAAATATCAAACACGCGAGCAAATAGATAATCGCGACGCGCCCGATCGAATTCGCGATTATTCGAAAGACCGACTAGCCTAGGCGATGTACTCCCGTGTACAGAGATAACTTCATACCTCGGCACCCTCCCGATCGGGCCTAGCTCAATTCCAGTCACTGTCGCACTCGCCAAGACTTACACGTGGACCAAGGATAGTCCCTGAACCAATGAAACTTCTAGTGTCAACGCGAGGGCCCTGCTGGGCGGTTGCCGGCCAAGACAGACACTTCGCATCCCAGCCACACGGGGTAGAACTTAATCATCCCTGTGGTCTAACCGTAGATGGTACTAGTCCGTCAGCCAGCATGTGCCCGAGCCCCAGTCGCGTACGACTTAGGCAGCGGACCGCCCCGTCGAGGTCAGAAGACGCACTGATCCGAGGGGGTCACCCTGGAACCCGATGCATGACGAGATTGACAGTGACTGGAAATGAGTGTCGGAGACGAGTCGTGAGGATGACTTACGAAGCATGTACTTATCGAGTACACGAGAGCACGTCGCGTAGGCTAGTCGGTACTTACGAACGATCGCGATTATCGCGAGAACAATTATGTTCTATTTGCTAAACGAGGGGGATAAGAAAATGATAGAGAATTTATAAATTTCGCTCCAAGTTAGGTAGCTTACCTTTGTACAGATAGCGCGCACATGATACTTAGTCTATGGATCTATCTTATGATTACTTAAAAGTAAACGCACGCATCGTTCATTGATGTGTCGCAAACAGAATCTTGAGAAACCTAAAAGCTAAAACAGAATATATTATTGTTAATATGTAGCTGAAAGGAAAGGGATTAGTACGAGGAAACCATCAAGGATAATAACCAAATGGAACGAGCAAGCCAACGGAGACCTAAGCAACATAACTACGAGACAGAAACACATTCCAACGGTGAGATATAAACATACCAACGAGGAAGCGCTCGAGTATTATACGAAATACTCGAACGCTCTAACGAAAACAAATCGAACGGAAGTCGTAAAATTTGTGAAAGGAAAAATTTAGCCAACGATGAGACATAAGTAAACCAACGACGAAGCATTCGAATATTGTACGAAATACTCGAATGCTGAAACAAAGAGACGAATAGAATGAAAGAAATAAAATCTGGAAGAAGAAAAATAATTAGAACCTGAAAGAAGAAATTGTTGTTAAATTATTTAAGAGAGTGGACAATGGCCACTGAATAGCCATTGATCTAGCCAACGATGGTATACAAATAAACCAACGACGAAGCATTCGAATATTATACAAAATACTCGAATGCACAAACAATTAAACCTAGAATAAAAGAAATAGAATCTGAAAGAAGAAAGATAATTAAAACCTGAAACAAAAAATAATTAGTACCTGAAAGAAAGAATTATTGTTAAATTATTTAAGAGATTGGACAATGGCCACTGAATAGCCATTCATCTAGCCAACAATGATAAACAAATAAACCAACGATGAAGCATTCGAATATTGTACAAAATACTCGAATGCACAATCAATGAAAATTAGAATAAATGAAATAGAATCTGAAAAAGAAAGATAATTAAAACCTGAAACAAAAAGAAAAAATATTAACGCGGACCCTCCGAAATCGAAGCGACAACTGGCTCCAGCCTGCACGCGGGCCCCTTATATAGCGGCGGCCAGCCGAAGATCGGCGAAAATTTCCGAACTTTACCGACTCCCTTAAAAGTTACTTTTCCGCTGTAATAACTAACAGTTTATTAACTTTTTTGACTTTTATCGTTAATATACCTTGCAAACTATTTGTTATCAATGATTTTAATTTGTTATTAACAATAAATTTATTAATTTATTAACTTTTTGTAAGTTACGAATACATTCTAACACAAATACGTCGTTTGTTTAAGTAGTAGCAATAATTTATTAACTTTTTTGACTTTTATCGTTAATATACCTTGCAAAATATTTGTTCTTAACAATAAATGTAGCAATTTATTAACTTTTTGCTAATTATAGATACATTTTCATGCAAATACGTTATATATACTAGTAACATCCTATAATTTAGTAATTTTTCCACTTGTATTATAAATTTACGTTGTGAACAATTTGTTATTAACAGTCAGTGCAATAATTTAGAAACTTTTTGCAAATTATAGGTACTTTTCAACACAAGTACATTAAAAATTCTAGTAATAGCCAATAATTTATTAATTATGTCAGTTTTCTTATAAATTTACATTATGAGCAATTTGTTAGCAATAATATTGATTTGTTATTAATAATAAATTTGATAATTTTATGTTTCATAAACTAAATCTGCATTCGCACCATCATAGGATAAATTCAAATGATATGTATATTATGTCAAAATATTGTTATTTCCTCTATATTTTTGAGTAAAATGAAGTTATTAAAATGTTGAATGTTTCATACCCATTTTAAAAGTTAAATAGGAATTTAATTTTTATCGACTTTATATTAAAGAGTCATTGGTATTTGTATCGAATGAGGAAACTGTTTGAAAGAGAAATTTTACATTCAGAGAAATTTCTTATACTTTTGCGATTAGTAAAAAAAAGTACACGAGAATATGTACACGTCATACATATAAAATGTGAAATCTACTGGATGATGATTTTGGTGCCGATTACACATTACTACGTCCCTGATGAAACTAGATCTGCAAACAATGGCTGCGTGGCGGCAAAATCCCTTTTATGAGTTCCTGATACATATTTTATCGTCCTGTCAACATTGGACATCATCCTAATATTGTTTCTGGGTGGCTTCTACTTTGGTAAAGCCTACAGAATACGCTATTATATAGTAAATTCGTGTGAGAGGAAGCACTTTTTGTAAAAATACAAGAATATGCGTAGAAAGTAAGCTCAGATACTAATTTTAAAAATTTAATGCCCGATTATAGTCTTTCAAAAGCACAAATAATTTTATTTGCGGACATAGATAAACTCGAAATTCTCTCACCTTACTGGTAAGACAAAAGTGAACCTCTCAACATTCTTACTTTCTGTGTAATACTTCATTTTAGCTAAAAATCGTGCCTGTTTAGAGAAACTCATATTTTTTGGAAACTAAGTATGATAGAGCAATTTCGATTATGAATTTATGTTCAGGAAAGTAAACTCTACATGAGTTTACTAATGGATATTAGTACCTAATGGATACTACAGGTTAGAGAAAAAGTTAAAATTTGTTGAACAATGTTTTCATCGATGTTCTCACAATATCGTTGCTTCACCAATGTCTCCCAAAGATGATTATTATCCTTGAGTCGCAGAATATCGATGACCTTATTCTTTGACATTTCAAAGATCTCTACATAATTTCTAATATTAGTGATTTTGCATACTTTGTATCATTGTATCGAATTAAGCACATTTATTTTATCATTGAGAGTATTGGTGTATATCTGGAAAAAGTTTTCAAATACTTAACATTTCTCTATTCTTCTTTATTATTATATTTGTTCAAAACAAATGTTGGGAGGAAAAGTTCTTTATCTGAATTTTGGTAAAAAATTTAAACAGCTGCTTGTGCATTATTGTGCAGACAATTATGAAATAAAAATAATGTATCCATAATGATAATCAAGTTTCAAATATTCTACTTAATACCTCTTTTTCAGTTATTTCGGTGAAATGTCACGATATTTTAATAATGCATATCATATTAAAATTTTCATGTAAAGTATGATGAACGTGTTCTAAGTAAAGAATTTGATAAAATTGAATTTATCATTTATATTATACTGTATTGATCAATACTGTAATACCGTGCAATCATTTTTGAATAAAACTTAAAATTTTAATTGAAATGAAATATATTTTAAAATAAAAATATGTTATGTATCCAAAAATGAAAATACGGAGTAGATAAAAGAAGTAATAACCACATCTTTTGATATTCCATTAATTTTATCAATAATAATTAAATAGTAAGTATAATATTGTGTTTACAATAAATATTATTCATACTATTATAGTGATTAATTTTATCTCACTAAAAAGATATATTTTACATATCTAATTTATATCAAATAAAGAAATTTTTATTACTTTAGTTTCCAAAAATGAAAAATGAAACATATAAATAAATATAAATGTAATCTAAATATTTAGTTGCAACTTCATTTATACATCATTTAATATTGATTTCTTCATATATTATATTACTTTATTGAAATCATTTTTGATGAAACAGAATTAATAAATAAATCGTTTATCAATATTGTTTGGACAAAAATATTTAATTAGTATAAAATGAATTGCTTTACAAGAACTCATTTATAGAATAAACCTTGTAACTTCATGGTGCTGCCATCTGTTAATCGCATCAGTATAATTCTACTTGAAATACATTGGGGATTCTTCTCTTCAAACGTTTATTTGGTTAGTTTACGGTTTTTTAAAAATGTGTGTTTCATAATGTAATTTATTAGTGAGAGGTGAAAAATGAGTGAGAACTATTTAAGTACACTCATAAATTGTTTATATTATTGAAGTTTATAATCTTCTTTTATTACTAAATGAATAAGGTAGTGAATTCAAATTTTTATTTACACTGCTTACTATTTTGGAGTGATGTATGAAATATTGTGTAAATATTCTGTACATATAAATTTATTGGGAGCATATAATAATTGGAATTGATTTGCTTTGGTGGAAGGAAATTTAAATGGATAATGAGTGATTCTGATGATACAGATGTTTTGCTCTTAATTCCACCTGACCTGTTCCTTATACCATCATCTTCAGAATCTGATGTTAGTTGTGATCAAGTTAAAACAAACTATAGTAATAAGAAGACTGGAGTAATATCAGAACTTGTGGAACATATGCAATCATTAGAAAGCAGAATTTGTGCTATTGAATCCAAGGATGTTAGTTTAGATGCTACTTTCTTAAATAATTCATTGGAATCACAAATTCAAAGTAATTCACTTATCAGGTTTAAACAGACATTACCTAAAACTAAATTGCCTGTAAGTGAAAATTGTAGTTTACAAAATACACCTATAAAACCTCGTCAATCCTTATCTGTTCCATCAACCCCTAATGGTCATTCATTATCACATCATATCAGTTCTCACTTAAATGACATAAACTTGGGGAATCATATTTCTGTGTCTACGGGTACTAACGCAACTAATGCTAATGATCATGATGAAAATAAGCATGATTCTCTAACATCCCAATCTTATGTGGTGGTATCTCCTAATGCTTGCAATGTGGGTTCTCCGCATGTTAATGTTAATTCTCCTGGAGGGAACCTTTATTCACATGCAGTTAATTGTAGAAATACAAATAATATGTATGTTAAGCCCTCTTTCAATCAATTACGTTCAATGCCATCTACCTCAACTTTACTTAGCACTACAGAAGCACCACAGTCGCATTCTAAAACTAATATACCAGAAATGGAGCTCTCCGAAGTTGATGAGCTACTTCAAGAGATGGAAGCTACCGAATTAGAATTATCAAAAAGGATTAACAGGGTGTCTATGCATCATTGCCTTAAGGAACAAAATGATGTATTATCTAATGAGAATAGCGATACTGTTAGAAGCAAGGATTATGGTAGTGGATACAATCATTCTGTTAATCGAAAATTGGAATTTACATCACAAGATTCAAGTGGTATTTTATCAATGAAATGTAATAAGAAGTCTGATATTTTTGCTGATATATCCTTGCCATATAATAATTCATTACATGCAAATGAGACTGATAAAATAATATCAGAATTTAAAACATGGGATCAAAATACACAAAATCAAATTTCAAAGACTGAAGAGATGGAAGGTCCAGTTACATTAACAAATTCAAGCAGTATTGATAAATCAGTTACGAAAGCAAATGATGTACAAAGAAAGAATTCAGTTACTCAACAAACCTCTCTGAGTGCAGATAATGTAAATAGTACGAGTACAGTTAATGTGCACAATACTCAAACTCATAATATATATAAAAAAGTAGATACTTCTTTACAAAATGAATTATTGCCGTGCAATAATACAAAATTAATAAAAAGTGCGGAATATAATGTATTATGTTCATCAGAACCTTACAAAAATTTACAACAAACTGGAAGCGTGCAATATATGAAACAAACGTACGATGTGCCACATGTTAAAAATATTATTCATGCTTCAACAAATACAGATTTTTTCCCAAGGTATTTTTCGTTATGTATATATAACAAATTAAATTTCAAAAGCAATAATATAATTTTATTTTTATCCCAGGAAATCTCAACGGCTTTTATCTTTATCAGACTTTTGGGAAAACAATGGTAATAAGACGCAAGAAGAAATACACAGAATTAAATTAGAGGAAGAAAAATTTCGTCGAGAGGTGAATAGACGTTTCTATAATTTATTTTTCTCCTTTCTCCTTTCTCAATAAGTTAATGTTTAGTTAACTAGTAATAGTTTAGTAATATAAGTTAAATTTCTTACAGCATTGTGAACACTTAATTCAAGAATTGCAAAAACGTTTACTAGAACAACAAGAGAAGGTTGCAGTGGCACTTAGAGTTGACAATGAAAAAAATGAGTTGATAGCACAATTTCATAATGCATGGTCTAAATTAAAGCAACGAGTGCATATATCGGAAAATGAATATAGTGCTTTACAGACGAATCTTAAGAATGTAACAGAGAAACATCAGTTAGAGGTTACAGAATTTCAATCACAAATTAAACGAATTGAAGGTGAATTATCAAAAGCTTTAGATCTTGCAGCTGGGTATAAAGAAAAAAATGACATTGCAATGAAGGAAAAAGTTGAATTATTAAAAAATCATGCTGACGAATTAGAAAATTCTAAATTACTCGTGCAAGAAGTAGAAAATAGATACGAAAAATTGAAAGTGGAATACAATAAGTTATTAGAAAAAAATCAACAGTCTGAAGAAACATTAAAGACTCTTCAACAAGAATTAGGAAAAGAACGATTAAAAGGCGGAGAAGTTAGAAATGAAATGGATGTTATTCATAAAGCATTAGATACTTGTGAAGCTGAATTGACTGTACTTAGACAAGAGAAAGAAAATTTACAGTTGAAGTTAAGAGAAGAAATCAACAGAAATTCAATTCTACAGCAGAAAAATATTTCGTTGCTTTCTACTCTTGACGATGCTAAAAAAGCAGAGGTAGGAAAATGAATATTTTCCAATATTTAGAAAAGCAGGGTGATTCTTTCGCCAGTGAACTCAAAAACGGTGCCGCTGCCTAAACACGATATTTCTAAAGTTTCAATTTCATTTCATACATATACATACATACAACCATTTTCGATGTAGTGTGCAAGGTTGATATCTTGCCAAGTCACAATAAAGACATATTGATAGATTTTATAAACTAAGACAAGATTACTGAGCAATGTTTAAGTGGCGGTAGTTTCCTTCGATACACTGGCGGGGAAATTATCCTGTATTACCTTCCATTTGCTTTTATTATTTATAGAAATTAGCCAAGGATGAAACAAGATTCCTTGTAGAACAAAAAGAAAAGATTAGGTCTGAATTACAAGAAATTTATCAGAAACAAGTCGATGAGGTGGTAAAAGTCAAATTACAAGAATTTCAAACTCAACTTGATGCTATTGAATCAGAATTTCTTGAGGAATTAAGAACTAGGCAACAAGTTATTGCTGAATGCGCAGCTCGAAAAATTAAAGATATTATAGATAAGTGTGTATTCCTTTTGAAGATATTTTTGTGGTTAATTAAGGATACTCGATAATTTGATTAATTAATAATTAAAATTTATTCAGGCATCAATTAGAAATAAATTTATTAGAAGAAAAACATAAAGAAGAGAAGAGACTGTGTGAACTTCAATTGGCAGAAGCTTTACAGAAATCGTCCTTTTTAGAAAGCCAACTTCATTCTCAACGGGCTACCAAATCTCAACTGGCAGAACAACTTCACTCAGTGATGCAGCAACAATGGCAACAAGCTTTACAAATTATATCAGGTATATTTATCATATTGTAATTTTTGTATTCATCTGGTTTTGTTTATTTTATTTCGTATAATTTGTATTTAATCACAGGCGGAAATATGGAAAATTTAACTCCTCTTCAAAAAATTCATGCCGAAAAATTGTTCGAATTGAAAGGCCCCAAAAAATCTGAATCGATGCCGAATTGTTATACAAAGGTTTCTCAAGAACCAATAAAATTAACATCGCACACGTCGGATACGAAAAATTTTCATAACCAAAACGACTGTATGAGTACTGTAACGTCACTCGATGAGACTCCGTTAACTAGTAAAAGAAAATCAGTAGATGATCTTCGAAAATATGTGAAAATGGTAAGTTCTAGATATAGCACGTATTCTTTTATATCAGATTTGATACATCTTAGATTGCCGAGATGCAACAAGCGAAAGAGGAGTTTTTAAAAATTAAAGAAAATAGTATGACTTCATCCTTAATATGTAGGGAAGTACCAAGGAAACATTATTTAAAAAAGGATTTAAGTATCGGTGATGAAGACAGTATCGTGTGGCAACCTGCATCAGAAGTAAGCAGTTTTACTTTATCGTTTTAAAGCATTTTAATTTAAATAAAATTTTATTGTTACAATTTTACATTCTTTATAGACTACTCAAGAAACTAACGAATTCATTCCAATTTCACAAAAGATATCGACGAAGGAAGAGCAAAAAATGAAGCCACCATGGAAATGATCTTGAAAAGATTATAGCATTTATGATATGGATCATATTAAGGTGTCCATATAGTACATTTAACTAGCCATATTTAAAATATGTAGAACGAATATTTTTTACTAAAATAAAATATATTTTAAATAAGATAATTATAAATAAATAACATTTTTAAATAATTCTACTGTCTCCTTTTTAAGTAATAAATTTCTGTTTCTTAGGATCTTTCTTTTCTAAATTTTATTATAGCGTTATTATTTCATTCTGACTACCATTTAGAGGAAAAGGATGTTCGATAGGGGAACGTGATAAGCTACATATCTATGTCGTTAGATCAGTGTTAATTTATATACGCCCACATATAATCGTTTTAGACAACAACATCGCTCTTGTACCTTTCATTATCATACTCGAATGATAAATTTTATTTGTTCCCGATATTATAGTGAAATATACAAATTCCTCTCAAAATATTTAACCCATCGATATCATTCAGATCATTTTAAAATCGTATCTGATGTTAACAGCGAAGTTGTCGTCATCGCTTTTGAATTCGCAAAAATTAGTCATAGTAGTGTATGCGTTTAGGATTATCCTAACTTGCACAAAAGCTTTCAATCATTCTTCGTTATGAATCATAGTTATCCTTAATAGAAAACGAACCATTTTTGGGACAGAAAAACAGATACGACGATTTCGATATGAACAAGTCTGTAAAATACGTTCAAAGGAATACTTGAAAACTTGAATCATATATTGTGAATCATGATAAATCATTTATTTCAAACACGTTTCCATCCGACGAGATGGTATGTCGAAGTTATTCAGAGAACTGTTACTGAATTGTTTATCGACAACGGTTCTTGAATAGTGATCAAGAAGGAGAAGAACATGCGGTATACAACGAGTCTAAAGGCGCATATTAATTAAATGTACGTCAATTTATATGGTAATTGCCACGCATTCATCACAATGAAAATTAAAAGTATTACTATTAATGATACGCTTGATGCATATAATGAACATTTTTAACGTTTCCTTTGGTACAATGATTTACACTCGCATATCGAATCGTCGTTAACATAATTATACAATAATTACATTCTCGGTCGTTAATTTTATATCGATCCTTCATATGCAATGTTAATTTTATTTATTTCAATCTCCATTAGTTTTCAAAAATAATTATAAAAAATATACTTCGTTGTAATAATATCGTCGGAAAAGAAATTATAATTATTGAACCTGTTAAAATTCATAACAGACGATATCTTATTAATATTTCATGATTAATATCACTATCGTTGCCGATGTCGTCAATGTCTTCGCGTTGTTATAAATACAAAACAGATTATTCAAAACTTAGATCTGTTTCGATAATTAGATACCGATGCATCGTGTGGTAGAATTATCTACTCAAAAGTATACTATATTTATACAAGAAATGGGATACGAAGGAAAATTAATTTTGGTTCTCTTAATTGAACGAACATTTTTTTAATCAGAAGGTATAGAATTAAAATAAATATAGATTTATAATATCCAAGAACGAAAGTAAAATGTCACGCTGAAATTACATTGGTCAGTTAAATTTAAAGAAACACGAAGTTCATTAAAATAGTCTATACGAATTTCCTGCCGATAGATTAATAAACCATCCTCATAGAAAACGATATCCCACTATAATATTTGCTCTATAATATTATTAACATATTGTATAAATTTTAGCAACCGAGTATATACATTAAATCTCATTTTATGTCACATGGTGGTCCAAACAATGTTTCATTTTTCTCTATTGTCCAACTATTTGTCACACTAGTGAAGCAAACTGTACAACAATTTGCCAAATTATGAATAAATATAGTCAATGTTCAAGTTGAATTTATATAAATCTGTATATCTACCAAAATGCTTAAACTATTCACGATAATTAGACCACTTGCAATTACTATAATATTTGCTCTATAATATTATCAATGTATTGTATAAACTTTAGCAATCGAGTATATGGTGGTCCAATCAAGGTCTCATTTTTCCTTATTACCCAACTATTTGTCACACTAGTGAAGCAAACCGTACAACAATTTGCCAAATTATGAATAAACATAGCCAATGTTCAAGTTTCATTTATACAAATCTGTATATCCACCAAAATGGTTAAACTGTTCGCGATAGCCAGACCACTTGCAATTTTCTTCGATTATCCAAGTACTCGACTTTACCAAAATAAACCTGTCGAATGAATAAATAAGTCGCGAATAATAACACGAACGTGAAGCAAATCGATACTCAATACTGCTGAATATCTCGTTACAACGATTACATGTAACCACGAAAATGGTGAACCCGTATACGATATCCAAACCGCGATTGGCAGCCTACTTTCCAGCAAGAAACCCATCATCCAGATGTCCCCTGCACGGCTCTGTATCCTGTACTATTAATTCGATCGAATGACCAAGTACACCGTATTTATCGATCACCGCTGGCGGATATAAAGCTCCAGCGCGAACATTGTCCGCGTTTACCTTGAACACGTAGTGGCAGCGGTGTAGGGGACTGTAAAAAGCCGTGAAGATACGAGTCGGATGTAGGAGAGTAAGCGGGACGAGGTGTTCTAACAGTCGATGCCCTTCTTTAGCCGTGACGACGATCACGCCTACGATCAGAAGTCCTGGGCTAAGCTGGCGCCAGTTACGAGGATCGTACGCGCGTCGCGCAGAACAAGTTGCCGATTGAAAACGAAAGAGTAGCAAGAATGCAAAGGGAGGAACGTGATAGTGACCACCCCCTCTTCGTTTTGTCCAGATAGTGGTGTAGTCATGAGCTCCGTCCGCTCTTCATTCTGACCGACTCGGTGGCCTTTAGTCGACCAGGCGAACCTACCGAGCGAAGAAGTAAGAAGCTCCGCGTGTGCCAAGCGTGTAGAAGCTTGAATGTGACCGAGAGAATGCAGCCCGGGACGAGACGTTCGAGATTCTATACGCCGATAATAGTGCTACTGTTGTCTCTCTGCCTGATCGTCTATAACGCCGCAGCGTGGAAAAGGCGGGAGGACAAGACCAAGTGTCCGAAAGTAAAGGGCATACGGAATTTTGACATATCCGAGGTACAGTGACGTTCAATTACATACCATTCGGTTCACGGAAGTTCCTAGTGATCTCTGTATTCCTCGTTCAGTGGAATTCCCAGTGCAGTGCGCTCGTGATCGGCTTGGTTCAGAGTCGTTCGCTGGAAATGTAGGGATAGGAGCTTGGATTCGTTCGATACTCTGTCGTGTCTGGTTTACCAGTCGAACGTATTTCACTCGGCTATGACACGTCTAGCGAAAGACTCGTTCCTGTGTTCCTACACGAGTGCAAGGGACCAGAGAGACTCGAGAAATTTGAGTTCAGCGATGACCGTTCCGAGGATCCGATCGTGACACGAGGATCAAGCGAATTTTTAACGCGAAGTTATTGTCTTCTTGCATAACCGGAGCCTTCGCTGTCACGAAACGTGGCGGACACGTTAATACCGATAATCGGCTGTTGAATTTTCCCTAATTGCTCGAACAGAATCGTTGGACATCGAGTTACGCATCTCTCGTCGATATTCCGTTTCCACGAATAGCCGATCACGACGGATTTCCGATCAATATGCACGTTGAATATATAATAATAATTGCAGTCAGAGCAATTGCGAACGCGTTTGCCGAATATCCCCGCTCTCGTATGAATATTACGCGATAACAGGAATTACAATTTCCTCTTGCCATTGATGCGCGATTTCAGTCATAACGTCGTGAAAGATGTGTCACGTTTATAACTCGGCCAACCGGAACGGATGTGTCTAATCGAATTATACTAATCGAACGAAAATTTTAATGCGATTTTCGCGTTACCATTTCGGCGCCATTAATTGGTCAAGTTTCGGAAGTGACGCAGCACCGTACGAGAGATTTCGTTGGGCACAGCTGCGTTTATGGAGTAGACAAGGACTCGCGTAAAATATCGCGAGTCTTCTTTCAAAGGAAGACTTCGGGCAACTTATTTTTGGAACTTTATGCGTGTTTAAGGGAAGGCTATTTCGGACATACCTTCCGCGCGTATTAAACTACTTGCCTGCATTGAACACCTTCCTGCAGTTCCATCCAACTTACGATTTTGCTTCCAGAGACTTTATTCTAGCCATTCCTTATTCCTACATTTTCGATCAATGATTCCATTCCATTCGATCATGTCATCCATCTCGACTGCTATTTCGAGACATCTGTATGAGTAATTCCATTAGTCTTAAGTTCCGCTTTTGGTCGTTTATTCAGAAGCTAGGATCGTGTTTGGTCTCTGTAATATTGCTTTCTGGATTTAGTTCTAGGATTTTCTACTTATTTCTGATGCATCGAGATTTTCTCGTGGAAACTTGCATGTTTGTTGACCGTTCACTCTATAGGACATAGTTGATTTTGCATTCTGAAAGTTAACCTTGGGATTCTGTTCCCAGATAGGCAACAAACTAAGTTTGGTCTCATTGATAACCCGAAATCCAGTGATGACATGCTTATTCTTAGTACGATTTTTCAAACTGTAGATACACGATATCTCATTAACGTTATTCGTTTGTGATTCTCTAACGAAGTTAATTACATGCATATTGTTATCTCGCGTAATTCGTGTTAAATAAACTTTACAATGGGCATTCAGTGGAAACGAAGCAGATAAATACAGATATTAGTTATGTTATTTTAATTTCAAATTTTTAATTTAACCCTTTGCACTGGATGATTTTTTGGCCAAAGAAGAGAAGGAGTTCGAAGATTTTCTGTAATGCTGACGATATTTTTTTCAGCAGTAAATAAGAGATAGTATAATAATTGACACGTATACCTCGCACACCGTTACGTTATCTTAAATTTGACATATTAATTAACATCGATCTTCGAAATTTTATCAAACGACTGAAGGCCGCCTCTCGAGTGCGAAGGGTTAATAATTTCAGTTAACGAAAAATACTGTGTAAAATATACGTGGAATGCAAATGCATAGTTATTCATTTAGACTTTTGGTTTATTGGTTTTTATAAATTTTTATAAATACGTGGTTCATAAAGCCATATAGATTTCGAAAATAGAATGAAATGAATTATAATGATAAATTCGAAACGATTATAAAATTATTATTTTTTGATTTGAAATTTTATAGTTAGAATAATATTAAATTTATTTTAATTCACGTAGAGATTATTAATCGCGTTGATAATTTATTTATTAAATTAAATTCGGATATTCGCTTTCTGTGAATTCTTAGAAGCAATGAACAATGACAAAGTATTTATAAACTTATAACTCTTAGGCCACGAAAGTACTGTTCTTAGGCGGAACTGATAACGGGAACAGCTACCATAATCTCTTCACTTCGAGCCATGCGACATTTCCCTCCGTGACCATTTGACCAAAATAAGCATCGTGTTTCGATTTTACAGTTAGAAAGCTTGTTTGTTTACAAAATTTCTCATTCTAAAGAAAGCACGAGTGAACGATCTGTTAAAAATATAAATTTATTTAGTACAATTCTCTTCTTTTGAGTTTAATTACTTTTTAAACCTTTATGCGATAAATTCACAATAAGCTTAGATCAGATATTTATTGCTATTCTCGATTTATATTGCTCTCCAGTATTAGCGAAAATTGCTTCGAAAAGCTATTGCTTTTTCTATTCGGATGCATCCCAGTTTTAAGTTACAACTTTCAATTTGTGTATTTCAAAAAATAGTAATAGATATCCATATAAATTTAAGATTAATCTCGACTAATAACGATGAATTTTTACTCAAACTTCGGATCGATATTCCAATATTCTTAATAAAAATCAACAAAGAGCAATTTAATAGGCCGAATAAAAGTGAAGAAAGAATTTAATGTACTCGATTGAAATTAAAAATAAACTTTCAGTTACGTTTCTAACTAATATTAAACACGAAACAATCCAGCAGTGCATCGTCTGCGAATTCCTCGATATCAGAGTTTCAAAAGCAGTTGTTATACATTATTTCACTTTACTAATTTCGCGTTTCCGCTGCATTAGCCGGAACAGGAAAATAGTGAAAAGAGAAGGAATAGTAAAAAAGGAAAGGTAGCACTTTTTGAAATTTCGGTGGTAGAGAGGGAAAGCACGAGCCACGAGTATGAATTTTCGTTTTTATCCCTGGGGGTGTTAATATCGACGTGCAGCTGAAATAATGATAATCAAGACAGGGATGGATCGTCCTGCTGGAAATGAATGCAGGGGAAAGAGAGAGAGGGAGAGAGTTTTGCATTGCATGCCGAACTAAATGACAGTCCGCGGCAACGATTGCGCGACCTGCCCCACGTAAACACCGATGAACCTCTCTGCAGCGTTTACACGGTACTGGTATACCGAATTTTCCACTCTCGCATAAATCACTCGTAGAATAGACCATCTATCGCGATCGCCCAAAATATGTACGTTATTTCTGACGGCATGAAAAGCTGCCCCAACGAATAAAGCATTCGGTATGAGACAGTAAATGTTTCATGGACCGGAAATTGTTTTTAAGGTTAGGAGAGGCCGCAGTGCTTGCAGGGAAAATAAAATCGAGTCTGTAAATTCATTCGACAGTATTCAAATTTTCATTTGCAATTGCGTATTATAGAAAAATAGTTGTGTGATAATATACAGAGCGTATTATCTTCAAAAATAAATTGGAAAGGAGGAAAATGTGAAATGAAATTATAGAAGTAATTACGAAATACTTTTGTTATGTAAATTAGGTTATAGAACTGTTTAAAAAATAATTTTATATTAAAATAATCGTTTAGTTATATCAAATATAATATCATATGTATGATAATGTACAGAGCGTATTATTCTATCTTCAAAAATAAATTGGAAGAAAAAAGAAGCTAAATGGAATTATAGAAGTAATTACAAAATATTTTTGTTATATAAATTAGGTTATAAAACTGTTTAAAAAATAATTTTATATTAAAATAATCGTTTGGTTATATTAAATAGTCTTCTGTTTTTAAAAATTCTTTTTATCTACAGACACTTTGTTATTAATTTAATTCTGTTAATTTTCTTTCTGTCTTTTACTACACGTTTCTCTATGATGTTTCTAATAATATAATTATGGCAATTCTAGAATTAAAAATTTGTCTCTCATATTAAAAAAAAGAAATTATGAAATAATAATATGAAAAATGGAAAATTGTATATAATAATTTAGAGATTAATTTTATTTAATTTAACAGAGTTGAAATAATTTCGTAATTTTAATTATAAACGTCGTGCTATCGCTATTCATAAAAATCTTAAAACGTGGTAAGACAAAAGAAATTTGATCAATTTTAACACGTGATGGCGTAAAAGATATTTAAAGCTCAATTTTACTTTTTGAACGAAATAGGCAACCACCTTGTGTCCAAGTCCAGTAAAACAGCAGGTATCGAGTATAAAACTACATTATCCTATTCGAACTTACTCCTGAAAAATTTCAATTCTTAGATATTCCATAATGAACTTTCTCTAATTCTCCCCCGAATAAAAAGCATATTTATTTAGGAAAGAGATAATAGAAACCCATTGTCCGAAATACAATCTCTCTGCTATCAAACAGAGTTCATAAGATCCTATTTACTCTCGTGTGCTTATTTATTGAAAGCATTTAACGACGTTTATTTAAGAATTTCTTTTCCCAACGAAACTTTAACGTTAATGAAAATTTATTAGGTCATTAGAGGATTGGAGGAAAAAAGAGGCAAATAATCGAGCAATCTTCAACGCTAAAACACATTTTCTCGCTATCAAATTAAACCATTCAGGCTCTATTTACTCTCATGCGCGCGTTTATTAAACGTTGCATGCATTTACGAACGTTTTGCTTTAGAACTCGGTTCCTGCCCTGTGGCGCGGCAAGTCCATTAGAGAGGCAGCGTTTCGATTAACATTGCACCGTGAACAACAAAAAGACTATTAGGCGCGAACAGTTCCGCGGATTAACCGTGAAGACACGTCCCGTGCTGTGGTAATAAAGAAGTTGCGTTTCTTGCAGTTCCTTGGATCTTGGTACATAGTGCAGTACTATGCGAGCTCAGAAGAGGCCCTCGCTTATAGATGCATGCGAGCCGAATTGTCGATTTCGCCGGAAAGCACCGAGGTTACCATGAATTTCACTTACAGCTTTACCGACGATCCTATCAACGAGCAACTTGTTGGCAACATCACCTGGAAAATCCCGTCCTCGGAGCTACCAGCTCACTGGGTGCACGCTGAGTACCCCTGTAAGTATCGGCACCTAGCTTCGATCTTCAATGAACCTAACCGCAAACTGAATTTAATAATTTGGGAAATTAATTCAGCGAATCGGGTTTAACCGTTCGATCGATCGGCTTGGTGAATTGATTTTAGTCATTCGATGTATTAATCTAGTACACCGAATTCGTAATGATCGGATTTTTCTTCAACGAAAATGTATATACTCGTGTTTGCGCAAATTCATTTCCCCAATTAACTTGGACTGCTGTTAGTTAATTTATTTACTCAGTTTGACAGATTTTAATTGAATTTTGAGTTAATTAAAAACAGATTTAATCAACATTTTCCACCAATACCAACGAAGCTCGATAATTATCACGTTTAGCGCAGCAAAATGAGGAAATACTCGATTTATTTGAAATGAAATAATTAAATACAGCGAAATAGTAGATTTATCTGGAAATGTTGTTACATATTGTATTTCAGCTAACTGTATCAGGGGCCTGATGTACTGACATAGAAAGCGATACCGATAACCCTAAAAAGCAGCGTTTTAATTATCTTCCCGAGATAAAAGACTCACTTTCCAAAGAAAAAGTGCTAGAGGCATTATCTTTCACAGAAAAATATATATCTCGGCCACATAAATTTCTTTTCTAGGAGATAAGAAGTCGGCTTTGTCTATTCGTAATATATCAATATTCAGATGGACCTCTTTTTTGAGAAAGCAACGACTAACATAATTACCATAAAAATTTATTTGAACACGGTTGTCGATGCAATAGACAGAATTTCTCCTTTTCCCATTTCTCCTATTTTTAAATATCGTAGAAACGATGATCCGTCGAAAATGTTTATTTTATACAACGGAAGAGCTCACTATGAGAATGACGAAATGTCGGAATCTTCTTCCAGAAAGATAGGATTGTCAGCAGGAAGCTACAGATAACGCTATAAATTATTTTACTGCTATCCACTGGTATAACCGTTTACGTGATTTTTTCTTCTTCCATATGCTATAGTTGTACGGTTTATAGATCGATTCGACACATTTCACGTTTAGTTATATCCTACAAGATTTTCCTGTTTAAAATATTCTACATACCTAAGCGATTAAACAACTATAATTAATATCTCCATTTCGTACACTTTTATACAGATGTAACAATCATTTCCGGAATAATCGATGATACAATTACATAAAGAAAACAATAAGGGAAAACGAAATTCAAAAATTTTAAATGATAAAAGATAAAACAATAGAAAAAAAATTCAAATTGAACAATTTAATCAATTTGAACGACATCGAAGGTTCTTAAAATTCTCAAAATTTTCAATGATACAGTTACAGTCATAGAGAAAATAAAAGAAGAGAAAAGAAATGTGAAATATATATTTCACGTGTTTGAGAGAGCACGTAATTGAAATAATTTCAATTTGAACAATTTGATCAATTTCAACATCGAAGGTTCTCCAATTTTTTAATTTAATGTCCGCAATTACTGCGACATCGAAAGCTCTCGAAGTCTTCTATTTCGTGA